CCCAACCTCAGTCCAATGGTTGGTTGTAAGTATTTGCACCTGTCTCAGCTCCTGATAGAACCAAGCTAGACTCCTGTATGGAAGCACAACATACTATCAGTAATAGTGTCAGGATTCAGTGCATGCCCATGGGATGGATCCCAAGTTAAGTTGATCACTGGTAGGCCATTCATTCATTTTTGGCTCTGTATTTCTTTTAGACAAGAACAATTTTGGGTCCCAAATTTTGAAGGTGAGTTTGTGTCCCCATCCCTTCACTGGGGGCCCTGTGAAGATAGTGTTTTAAGGTTCCAGCTCCATATTGTTGGGCACCTCAGCCAAGGTCATCCACATTGAGTGCTGGGAAACTCCTACCTCCCAGGATGCTGGGAGTATCTCAAGATTCCTCACACCTCCCCAGCCACACAACTGGCAGCTACATATTTCTGTTCATTCACCTGGCCCTTGGGGCTCCTCTCCTGTCTCCCACAATACCTGATCCTGCCCCCCCTTTTCACTCCCCTACCCTCTCTCACCAAGTACCTCCCTCCCTCTGCCTCCCATGAATATTTTATATCTCCTTCTAAATGGAATTGAAGGATCATCACCTGGGCTTTCATTATTGTTTAACTTCTTAGACCCTGTGGGGATATATCATAGGTATTTTGAACTTTTTGGATAATATCCACTTATTAGGGGGTGCAACCTATACATGTCCTTCTGGGACTGAGTTACCTCACTCAAGATATTTTCAGGTTCCGTACATTTGCCTGCAAGATTCATGATATCCTTGTTTTTAATATATGAATCATATTACATTCTGTAAATGACAAATGTTTTCTGTATCCATTCTTCAATTTAGGGACATCTGGGTTGTTTCAAGGTTCTGGCCATTATGAATAAAGCTGCTATGAAACATTGTTTCTTGTGGTATGGAAGCATCTTTTGTTTATATGGCAAAGAGTGATGAATGGTTTGTGCATGGCTGGCCCAGAGAGTGGCACTATTAGGAAGTGTGGCCTTGTTGGATTAGAGGTATTACTGTGAGTGTGGACTTTAAGACCCTCTTCCTAACTTCCTGGAAGCCAATCTTCTTCTAGAGGCCCTCAGATGAAGGTTTAGAACTCTCAGCTCCTCATGCATCATGCACAATGCCTACCTGGATGCTACCATGCTCAAGGCTTGATGATATTGGACTGAAGGTCTGAACTCAATTAAACGGTGTCCTTATAAGACTTGCTTTGATCATGTTGCCTGTTCACAGAAGTAAAACCCTTGGTAAGACAAGTGGTATAGCTGGGTCTTCAGATAAAACTATTTCCAGCGTTCTGAGAAATTGCCAGATTAAGTTCTGGAATGGTTTTAAAAGTTTGCACTCCCACCGGCAATGGGAGAGTGCTCTCTTTTTCTACATCCTGTCCAACAAGTGTGGTCAGTTGAGTTTTGATCTTAGCAATTCTAACTGGTGTAAGGTAGGATCTCAGGGTCGTTTTGATTTGCATTTCCCTGATAACTAAGGATGTTGAACATTTTTTTTTAAGTGGCTCACAGTCATTTGAGAGTCCTCTGTGGAAAATTCTCTTTAGCACTGCACCTCATTTTTAAAAATTGGGTTATTTGAGTTTTTGGACTCTAACATCTTGAGGTTTTTTTTTTATGTATTTGGTATATTAGCCTTCTGTCAGACGTAGGATTAGTGAAGAACTTTAATCAATCTGTAGGTTGCTGTTTTGTCCTATTGGCAGTGTCTTTTGACTTATAGAAGCTCTTCAGTTTCAAGAGGACCCATTTATCAGTTACTGATCTTAGGGCCTGAGCTGTTAGTGTTTTGTTCAGGAAAATTTCTCCTGTGCTAATGCATCTGAGGCTATTTCCCACTTTCTTTTCTATTAGATTAAGTTTTTCTGGTTTTATATTGAAGTCCCTGATAAACTTGGAGTTGAGCTTTGGGCAGCATGATAAATATGGATCAATTTACATTCTTCTACATCCAGACTACCAGTCAAGTCAGCACCATTTGTTGAAGATGCTTTCTTTTTTTCACTGTATGAATTTGGCTTCCTTGTCAAAGGTCAAGTGTCCATAAGTGTGTGGGTTTATTTCTGAGTCTCCAATTCTATTCCATTGATTGACCTGTCTGTCTCTGTACTAATATTATGCAGTTTTTAATCACTATTGCTTTGTAGTACAACTTGAGGTCATTGATGATGATTCCCACAGAAGTTCTTTTATTGTTCAGATTGTTTTGGTTATCCTCTTTTTTTTCCATATGAAGTTGATAGTTGCTCTTTTAAGGACTATAAAAAGTGTGTTGGAATTTTGATAGGGATTCCATTGAATCTGTAGATTGCTTTTGGTAAGATAGACATTTTCACTATGTTAATTCTATAGATTTAGGACCACTAGAGAGCTTTCCAACTTCTAAGATCTTTAATTTCTATCTCTGGGGACTTGAAGTTCTTGTCCTACATATCTTTCATATGCTTGGTTAGAATTATACCCAGATGTTATATATCAGACTGTTTATCATCTGCATAAAGGAAGGCTACTGATTTCTTTGAGTAAATTTATATCCAGCCACTTTGCTGAAGTTGTTTATCACCTGTAAGAGTTCTCTGATAGAATTTGGGGGTTGGTAATGTATACTATTATATCATTTGCAAATAGAAGTCCTCAGATGAAGGTTTAGAACTCTCAGCTCCTCATGCATCATGCACAATGCCTACCTGGATGCTGCCATGCTCAAGGCTTGATGATAATGGACTGAAGGTCTGAACTCAATTAAATGGTGTCCTTATAAGACTTGCTTTGATCATGTTGCCTGTTCACAGAAGTAAAACCCTTGGTAAGACAAGTGGTATAGTTGGGTCTTCAGGTAAAACTATTTCCAATATAGGTAACATATACTATTATATCATTTCACTCCTTCCCTTCCAATTTGAATCTCCTTGGTCTTATTTCCTTGTCTTATTGCTCTAGCTAGAACTTCAAGTACTGTAATGAATGGACCAGAAGAAAGTAGACAGCCTTGTTTGTCTCTGTTTTTAGTGGGATTGCTTCAAGTTTCTCTCTATTTATGTTTATGTTTATGTTTACAAACTTTATGTTTGTAGCTAGCTTCTTGGTTGGAAATGGGAGCCTGTGCACATGAACATATATATGCACACATATGCACAAACAACCATACATACATAAACATATTCATGAACAAATACATGCACACACATAAGACAAAATTGATACATTGTGGAATATGGTGTGTATATTAATTATGATAATATTTCCACAGATAATTTCTTCTGCTAAAAATCCTCCTCTCCTCCCTTCCAACTTCCTCTTCTCCTCTTCTTTGAAATATACTTTTTAGTATTGCCTCAACAATTTTTTGCCTGGGAGTTTCAGAACTAGACAGCATCCATTCTCCTCATTCTATGGTTTCAAAGACAAATTGAAGCTTAATACCACCAGCGGAGAACCAAGGAATTTATTGGGTTTATTAACAGAGGAGGTGTGAAATGGTAGAGTAGCATACAACCAGCTATAAGGACAGGTTGGAGACCGAGGACAAGGAAAAGCAGTGATTGAACCTTCCCTTCCCTTCTTTACTAGAATGTCAGCAGCCAACAAGACCATTTGTGATGATATTTTGTGAGTATACACAGCTTGTTTTTTGAAACTGGCAGTTGTTTAGGGATCCCAGAAAAGTGCTGAACAAGAAATACATGTCACTTAACAAACACCCCCAGAATAGTCACTTCAAAGAGTTAAAATATATTACTGTGGATCTGGAGAGACAGATCAGTGGTTAAGGGCTTATACAGCCCTTGCAGTGTACCCAAGTTTGGTTCCAAGCCCCTACATTGAACAGGTCACAGTCACCTATAACTCCAACTCCAAGGGATTCCTATGTCCCAAGCTCCCATGAGCACTCACACATGAATGTATATTTACACACAGAAATGTAATTTAAAATATTGAAAATAAATCTGTAACTAGCATATTCTATTATGAAATGCTATCTTGAACCTTCATCAGGACCAAGGCAAAGGATATATTTTCTCTTGGCCACCTACATTGCACTTAACTGAAATTGTATTATTCAAATTAAGTTATAATTTGTATAGATTTACACTTAAAGTGTATATACTGGCTAACAATGTCCATGCTGTGTATGCAGTTCTGGAATAAAAATGCTGTGAAAAGATGGCTTACAGGTCATTTTGAGAAGACTAAGAATCAGTCATACAAAATTGTTGTTCTGAAACTGGCTGAATTCCTAGGTGTTTTGCAGTTTTGTTTTCCTTTATTTTCCTCGTTTATCTGGAACATTAGGACAAGGGCAAAGCCTGTGCATGGAATGGATTCTGTGTCACAACTGCTGGGGAGACAGCCGAGATATGAAGTATGTATGACTCAGTGTGTGATATCTCCTGCAGTAGCAACATGGTGAATGGGTTCAGCAGCTTCTGACACTGAGACGGCTGTGGCTTTCTAATTTGATAATGAAATATCTGAGTTACCTGATAGACACTGTCTTAGTTACATTCAGCAAAACATCAGGACCACAAAGCAAGTTGTGAAGAAAAGGGTTAATTCTGCTTACACTTCCAAATTGCTGTTCATCATCAAAGGAAGTCAGGAGAACAATTCATGCAAGGCAGGGACCTGGAAGCAGGAGCCAATGCAGAAGCCATGGAGGAGTGTTGATTATTGGCTTGCTTCTCTTGACTTTTTTTGACCTGCCTTCTTGTAGAACTCCGGACTATCACCCCAGGGATGTCATCACCCACAATAGGCTGGGCCCTCCTCAGTTGTTCACTAATTGAGAAAATGCCTTGTAGCTGGATCTCATAGAAGCATTTCCTCAACTGAGGGTTCTTATACTCTGATAATTCTAGCTTGTGTCAAGTTGACTGATAAAACCAGAGAGTTGCAGACACTGTCCTTAACTTAAATGGTGATTAGAGGAACATAAGAATGGATTTGAGAACCCTTAGAACATGAGACAAGTTCATAGCCTGTTAACTTTTCCACCAACAGGGAAGATAGAGCCTAGAGGCAGAGAGGTTACTACTAATGAGCACAAAGGAGCAAAATATAGGGAAACAGGTTTCTAAAACTGAGATGATGTTGATCACCCACAGTCCCGGATTACCAAATAAGGCCGAATATAGAACCAGGATGGAAGAGATAGAGTAGAAGGTGACAAAAGTGCACACAAGGATCAGGATGGTTTGTGTGGCTCTGGCCTCAGGAGAGACTCTCAGCGAATGTTGGGCATGAATGTACTGGACCTGCCTCTTGTGCCTGTAGAGGATGCTCACCATGAAGACACTGGCCCAGGACATGAGACTCAAACACAGAACATCAGTGAAGCTAAGCAAGAGAATATACAATGGAGTTGTAATAGTACCAGATACAGATGCTGAGCAGTACCCATAGCTCAGTTTCTTAGTGGCATTCCTTCTGTTGCTAGAGCTTGTCACTTTCATGAGTATCATGACATTCAGAAGCAGTTGCATAGGCCAACTGAGTGAGCAGGAAGGGCCCATGTACTTGATGGCTTTGTCCTTAAGCTTCATCCATTTTGTGGTGCTTAAGCTGATTGTGGTTGCTTGGAAACAACTCAAAAGGCATGTTGTATACAGTGAAACCCCCCGGGATACTCTATAAAGGTAAAGTACAAGTTTACAGCCAATGTCATCCAGAAAATATTTCATCCCAAATTCTGCCATTATCTGTGGAATTCCTCTAGAGATAATAAACAAGGAGTTGGCCAGAGTCAAGTGCTTTACAATTAGGGCTTTGAGCTTCAAACCTTTCCCAGAAAATTCCAGGATTAAATAATGAAGCAGAATTGAGGAATTAACCAGGATTCCTATTGTAGTCTGTAGGATGAAGACTATACTCATTACCATGTTCTCTGGTTTCATTTTCTCACTATCAAAATGTTATTAGGCTAAGCATATCTAGGAGGGAAATGTGGGTGTTTTCACTACTTTCATTAAAGAAGCAGGTGCTGTACCTCAGTGGTGAATACTTGCCTAGTAAGACCCTGAGTTTCATAGCCGGCACCTGAAAAATAATAACTTGAATGAAATATTCTTCATTCATCATGTGTGTGAATCTTTCCCAAAGTTTGTTCATATGATAAAAACATCACAGATATAATAAACTAACTAATAACATCTCTGGTAAAAATACATATTGATAGGATCCAAGAATTATTCTAAACAAGGAGTCTAAATCAAAGCATCCAATGCTACTAATGTCAGAAATGCTATTATGATAGTTATAAAAACTACAATGTTATGTAACTCTCTTCATGCTTCCATATACACCGCCAATACTGACATGTTAAAAATGTGTGGAACACTAAGTCCAAACACCACATCATGCACACCCTATCCTATCAACTGCGTGGAGACACTACCAAGAAATTCTCATCACAAAGAGAGGAATGTGTGTAGTGAGTAGACCCAAGTTTCTTATAAACATGCATTTTGTGGAGAGAGACACAAAGAGCCTGAAGAAGGTACAAATCCATACTGTCAAGGTTTTAGTACCACCAGCTCAGTCAAAGATTCCAAAACTGTTAGCTGCAAGCTCAATTTAGTTATCTACACCACCTATTCTAGACTCAGGAAACAAGTTTCTGCTTTCATTTCCAAGCTAAAAACAAAGATCAAGGTTCAAATATCAAGGTTCAAATCAAGTTATGTTCCCAGGTCTCGGTTCAACTTTGCTTCACTCAGGCTCTGGATTATTTATTCAGACATCAATGACTTTATAAAGCCTAAAGTGTGGGGTGCTCTGTGAATCTACATGAGGGTAAAAAATAGCATTATTGCCCAGAATTCCATGTTTTGCCATGCCATTTGTATATGAGACATAGAAAAGATGTATTCGTGCTGCAAATAGTCCAATAATTTTAAAGTAAAGCTAAACTTTTGTTAATAATAAAATTAATATCTTTCCATGCATTTTAAAGCCCTTGAGGACATGACTGCATTTAATGTAAAACAGAAAAACAGAGAGCACGACAGAGAGGTCTGACATCTCAAGTCATCTCGTGGACTCACTTGCAGATTATTCATTTATCATTGTGGCATAAAGGTATTAACATATGGAGGATGTCACATCTGGAATTGTATTCCAAATGATTCTCACAAACTTCTCAATCTTTCCATTTATGGAAGTTACATTTGAGTCACATGCTTATCTAATATGTTTTCTGTCATTAGTTATAACTATTGCCTAGGAAGATAGTGAGAAAAATTTTCTCTATACAATAAAAAAGACAGGTCACACTGAGCAGAGAAGGAAAGTGAGAGAAGGGATCTGGAGGGAAGGATAATCACAGGTGAAAAATTAAAATGATAAATTCAAACACAGCTCAGTTTCCAAAAAATGAAGAACTGTTTGACTGGTAGACTTGGTTTTTAAATGTGTAAAACAGGAATTAGAAATCATTAGGATAAAAAATCGATCACATCTTAAGTTATTTACTTCAAAAGTCTGCAGAGAATAGCTAATCATTCATAAATCTAATTTTCCTAAGCCACTCACTGTTTCTAAGTCATCATATCAACAAAGCTGACAGGGGGTGCTTGGGGGCACAGTGGACTTACCTAGAGAAGAGGATATCACTGAAAGCTGCCACTCCAGGAGCTGGGGGCTACTGTGTTCCAATGCAGTGCTCCTCACTAAGTCACAGGACTGATGGTGCAGGCCTGCAACCCCAGCAACTCTGGAGGCAGAGGCAAGAGCATCACAAGTTCAGACACAACCAGGCCAGATAGGGAGTCCAAAGAAGGCTGAGCAACTTAGCAAGAACTTCTGAAGATCAAAAGGTAACATGAGGGCTGAGAAAACAGATCAATGGTAAGTGCTTACTTGGCACATGTAAGGCCCTTGGTTCAACCCCTGTACTATAGCAAACACTATACTAAAAGTGATGATGATGATGATGATGATAAAAATACTCCTTCTACTAATAAAAAGAATAGAGAAAGAGGGTCTTTGGGGACAAGAGCTAAAATCAGATATGAAATTATCTTGATTCTTAGAGAAATGGTCCTGTATTAAAGTTTTCAGTGAAATCGAAAAAGCTGATAAAACTGCAGACAAGAAATGGAACTTGACTTTATCTAAAATGGGAAGAATGAGATCAATTCAAAGAAAAGAGAATCACAATAAGCCTCATGCATGTTCATCTTCTTAAACCACACACTGACTCTGAGCCCTGACACTGAGCCAGGTCAGTGAACAGAGGCAGAATGGACTCACACAGAGAGAGAAACTTCCAAAAGCTGCAAATCCAAAACAATTCTTCTGTAATATTTCATCTGCAGCGCTCTTCACTCATTCTGAAGTCATGTCTGGCTCGGAGCCTATGCATTCCCCTCCCATATTATTTTATGACAAGAGAAGATGGAGAGTTTCATTGATGAACAGAAAAGAAGACAGGGCTATTTCTTACACTCTGAATGCAAGTATAATCCTCTTTCATCTTTCTTTTAGAATTCTGGGGGCATGTTCTAACATGGTCTGCAGACTTACAACATAATAGAATCATATTAGTCCATGTTTAGCCTTGGACACTGGGCTATAATCTGATAATCTCCTTTATGGTTCAGATAAATTGTAGTTGTGCTGCACAACAATATTGACCACTTCTCCTTACATTCATGAGCATATGCAATATAATCCTTACTGTTTCCTTAACTAACCAAAGAAAATATTAACAACAAACTTAACTTTTTTTTTGCATCAAATCTCAGGCATAGTTAGTTGCAAGGGAAATAAGAAACATACACTTGTTATTTATTTTCCATTTGATACACATCTATTTCCCACTTAGTTGTGTAGAAATTTTGGTTATGTATGAAAATTCTCTTTTCTTATAGGATACTTTGTATTATTTAAGACATTTAAAATGAATATAAACATCCGTATTTCATCATAATATTTTTCACTTATTGAAAATATATTTATTCTTTGACATTTTAATACAGCATATATTTATCATTTTCTGTCACACTCAACTCCTCTCTAATCTTATTCCATTACTTCACACACACTGAACTTTGTGTTCTTTCCCTCTCATAAGTAAAAACACAAAAGAAAGAGGACTAACTATCACTAAAAACATAGAGTCTGGGAAGTATTAGCCAACTTCTCCTGAGTATGAGTCTGACCTCCAGTGTGGTTGATATACTTAGTATCACTCAATTGAAAAAAACTGATTTTATACCTTTCCTAAAATTTTATAAATTGCAAATAAATTTTTGGTGAGGCATGGGAATTTAACAAATTTTCATCAAAGGTAGAGTGGAAATTCAAGGAGGAAAGAATGAATGAATAAAAGAAAGAAGAAAAGAAGAAATGAGGAGACAAATTCCATTTTAAAGAGGAATATATCAAGGATAATCTTCAGGATATTGTGGAAGTAATCAGATTTTCACAAGAGTGGGAATATGCAATCTATTCTGCACCTAACTGTAAACATCCTTGAATTACTGTTAAAGTGTTTTCCATTCTCAATTCCAATCACAGCAATATGGTCACTGCTCCGTGCCCATGTAAGTCTTAAGTTTATAATTATCTATTTCTTGAGATGAAAGTAATGCTCACCAGGATGCTGTGTGATGCCACAGGAGCAAGTGCTGAGCTGAAAGGCTGAGTCTTTCCTGTGTCAAGATGAGACTCTTGGCTCCGATTTATAGGTATATTATTCCCAGTCCCTTTTTCTACTTTAGTAGTGATTTCAACTCAAATATAGATCCACAAGGCCATCTACATAAGGGACTGAGAAAACTTTTAAATGACTTTCCAACAATTATGTGTCAGTGCAAATGTGTCCAAAACACAGGTTCAAATGCAATGAAGCAATTAGAAAGAATTAGAAAGAAAACATCTCTGTGAGCCCACAGTGTCACAAGGAGGGATGCAGAAGGCACAAAGGGCCAATCCTAAGAAAATTAAATTAATGGATATAAGTTAAGTTGCGCACCTTTTCTAATACCCAGACATTCTTGGAGATTTTTTTAATCTTTTAAGATCAACTGAACTAATAGGCATGAAGAAACGAGATATAATACATAGTCTTTGTCTTCCTTTCTTAAAGCCACATTTTTTTAAAAAAATCGATTTTCCTGTACAATTTTCATTCATTCTTTTTAAACTAGAACTTATTTCATTTCATTCATAAAGTAAATCATATAGATAGTTAATGTGTAGTCACATATTTAGAGTTATTTTGCTTTAAACTTCCTTGTAAGTGGATTGTAGTGTACATATGCATCTTTGCCTGTACAGACTTAAGAAGAGAATGATGGTTATTGGAATATTTTTAAATTACAATATTTTTATTAACTCTTTGGGAATGTCATGCATGCATTCAATGATGATTGATTATGTTCACTCATTGAATTATCCTCTAGATCCACCCTCAAATCTATAACTCCTTTCAGATTCATTACTTCAATTTTTATAATCCACTGAGTTCAATTTCTGCTGTCATACTCATAGATGTGTGAGGTCGCCACTGGAGCTTGGTTGATCAACTAGTGGCTGTACCCTTAAGGAAAACTAACTCTACCTTCTCAAAGTCATTAACTACCTAAAGCTCCTCAGTTATGTCTGGGTCTCACAAACCCTCCAGTTATGTTAGACTATTGGCCAGCCTGATCTTGTACAGGTCTTTTGTAAACAACCACAGCTGTTGTGAGTTCATGAGTGCAGTGGTCCTGTCATACTATTTTCCCCTCTGATTCTCCCTGGCATCTGTCACCTATAATAATTTCATCCTATTTTTCATAGTGCTACCTTTGTCTTGTATCATAGGCCCATATCCTCATGTTTATCTATACTTTGCATATTCTCACATAATAATTTTTATAATATGTTGGTTCTACAGTTTTGAAATTTG